GGGGGGAATAGTATGATTTCTTTGATATGCAAAGCTAGCATAACTTTTTAAAATAGAGTTAAAATCTTCCTTTTTTTCTTTTCCTTTTTTTTCCAAGGTTCCACTCACGTGTGGGCGAATTTAACTACATCCGTCGAAAGAAAATTATTCCATTCAATGGCAGACTTAAGGTACACCACGGCAGCCTAAAAAGTCGATTTTGGTATCCAAAACCGATTTTTCGATTTTGGACTATTTTAGTAGAACAACATCTGCTTTATCAATTGGAAATATTTTCAAGTGTCCAAAACATCTATAAAGTGCTCACATATGCCATGTTTTTTAACATTGTATGGTAATAGAATGGTATGAATTCGTGTTTTTTAAAGTTTTCTCAAAACTATGATTTTCTTAGGGGGGTGGGTCACCTTGGCAGAGATATTTCTAAAAGTACTTGTCGCAGCTGAATCCCACTTTGCATGACTGTTTCTAGATAATATGTTTGCAACGTACTAAAAGATGATTGTGATATTGTAATAAGTCTTCCGTCAGTGTTAAAAAGATTGGCAGTATAACTCTGATTTGTGATCATTTTTTTGTCCAAGTATCGTATATGACACTAAAAGGGCAGTTACAAGAAAAGTATGAGACTTAAGAAAGTAAATCTTTAGTACGTTGCAGGTTGTATATACACAAACTCTGTGTGACAATATCAAGGATGTATCAATTCAATCTTTTTCAGAATCCCTGCCAACAATTTGCGCAAATTTTGGTCTGTCGAACCCTTTGCATCAAATTTTTTTTTTAATTGACAGTGAAATCATATAGGGATAGTGTGCTTTTGTTTCTTGACTCATATTGGTTATTGGGAATCCCAGTACACTTAATTTAGAGCCCAAACAAAAATTTTCATTTCAGCTGTACCTAGTTCACCTTAATAACTCTTCGGTTCCAATACCGTGGGAGATTGATGAACATTGCATGCCTACTCTGCTTCTTTGTGAAAGGTGGTTGTTTGAGCAAATTATGAATACTTGTGAGGCAGCGTTGTGGAATCAGATCGTCAATTTGGGGGCATATTGAGTTATTGGTATTATTTACAGCTTGTTCATTTAATTTGTCTTTCTTTCAATGAAAAAATTACCCATCCATCTTCAATAGAAGTGGAGATATTTTGGATTGAAGGAGGTGGGGGTCACCTGATTTAAGAGGTAAAATTAGCGAGAAAAGGGCCGCCAAAGCTTTGTAAATTCCAAAGCTGGAGAGTCCATGGAAACTGTAATTTTATATTTTTGTGCCTTTAATCAACGTTTTCGGTGAAATCCTCAAAGGAATGTGTTTGTAAATGGACATAAAAGGTGTTGAGCCAAAAAAAACAAAACATTTGATAAAAATTGCTATGCAGGGAAAAAAACTGTTGTTTTCTTCAATCTCATTATTTTGACGAGAGCCCGATTCCACCACGCTGCCTCACATTTTCTTTGATATGCAAAGCTAACAGAACTTTTTTTTAAATAGAGTTAAAATCTTCCTTTTTTTTCTTTTCCTTTTTTTTCCAAGGTTCCACTCACGTGAGGACGAATTTAACTAACTTCCGTCTAAAGAAAATTATTACATTCAATGGCAGACTTAATAACTCTTCGGTTCCCATACCGTGGGAGATTGATGAACATTGCATGCCTACTCTGCTGCTTTGTGAAAGGTGGTTGTTTGAGCAAATTATGAACAATTGTGATTGCGACAGACTTCTTATCTTATGTTCTATACACAATTCTCAACAACCCTGTCTCCAGAGGATCGGGGAAAGACAGCAGCCTGCGTGGAAAAGCCAGAAGAATATCCAACCTAGAGGCATGATCAGCAAGCATACCCTTTCATAGATCATGGAGAAGAGGGAGCAGCTATGGCATTGTGCCGCCTGCAATGATGCCTATTTTCCAACAAAGTAAGTAAGTACACTCAACAAACTTTTGTTCAATTTTAAATTTTGCTGAAAATTAATAACGTTGCATTTCTTACACTGCGATAAAAGCAGGCATAAATCTATACAGATCCAAGGGCAAATAATAGGTAAAGCATTGTGGTGAAATAAGGCGCTCGTAAAAAAAATGAAATCAAAGAAATCTGCACTTCTATGGCCGTTGGACAATCTTTTTTATCCTCCGGATTTTCTTTCTTTTACCTCAAATGTCCATTTGAAAACATATTTACCTTATATGTGGACTTAACTGAATTTGGCAGTCACCAAACTTTGACGGCCAAAATTTCTCGCTAATTTTACCTCTGAAACCAGTCGACCCCCCCCCCCCCCCCAATCCCCCTCCCCGCGGGCCCACCAACCTCCTTCAATTGGAAATCTATTGACTTCTCTTTAAGATAGGATGTGTGTTTTCTTTTTATGGAAATCAAGACAAATGAACAAGATTTAAGATGATACCCAAACTCCTGATGCCGAAAAATTGACGAGCCCGTGATTCCACACAAGACTTAGGTTTTATAACTCGGATTGACAGGTTTCCCCTCTACGCTTGACCAATCTCATCCTCCTCTACAAGCGGGCTATACGGTTTCCTTAATAACGATGGTCGGGAAAGGGACACTGGCAAAAGGGGCGGTCTTTCTTCTTCGCAATCCTTGTCGTGATCTGAAGCCCCGCCCCCTTTCTGCGAGCCGCGTCGTGGAGCGGCCTTGGTGGAGGAGTGGGGCGGAGTCCAGCGGTGACAGGTGGACTTTCGCTTAAGCATTTTGGCGAGGGGGGCGGTCATCTTGGTCCTGGGGATTTGTCTGAAGGGGGAGGTGTGGGGTGGGTGAGGGTTGGGAAAAGTGTGTGTGTGTGG